AAAATAGCATCAAATGTCTTATTTTCATTAGTTCTTTCAATCATTTGTATTTAACAAACAGAAAGCAGAAATAGTCTATTCTTTGACATAAATCATTTTAGATGATAATTACTTGTCGAACACATTCAATGACACAGATATGTTAAGATTTTCTAAAGCCAGCGACACATTAGAAGACCCCGGGTCTTCTATTCTGTCTTGTCGTTCATAAGTTTAAAGGGGAGTCTTCTATTGTGTCCCTAAAATAAGTCTTATTTTCTTGCTATCGTCACTAACATAAATTTTTAAAAGCTTTTTCATGTGTTATGTTAAGCATATTTATTTCGATTTTTGTATGAGAAAACAAGTAGAACAAAAGACTATAAGAGAAAATAAGAGAACATTTCATCAAAAAAGTATCTTTATAAAAAAATATACTACAATACACAACATAATATTAGTTAGTATTTCACAAAATGAGGCTTATCGACAAATGATAAAAGAGCTTCACATCAAATGTTATTATTGCATACAATAAAATGAAAGTAAAATTAAAATTATTTATTTTTCCACATGTCTTTTAATATCAATTGTTTATTTTGAATTTTTATTGTTGAAATTGTCGTTCGTTCATTGCATTCTGCCTCGTGATTCTGATCATCAGCTTCTTCTTGATTTGATTCTATTGAATTTGGATCAAATTTGTACCAGCTAATATGATTCGGTTGAATGATTGAATTATCAACCCATGTATATCCAAGTGAACGAAATGCATTTTGAAGATCAATTGATTTTAAGGTACGATACCATGCTGCGGCAGTTAATCTGGTACACAGGATGCGTTTTTGAGATGATAATAATTTGAGTTTCAAACGAGGTCCGTTTAATTCTAGATATTCTTCTGCACAATCGTAATAGTGATTTTTGAAAGCAGAAAAAACATGTACGTCCAATAATTGTATGTATTGTGTACAGCCTTTTGGAATAATTGCTAAACATACACCATTATCACGCATTCTTTTTCTTAAATTATCGTTCAAATGACTACTACAACTATCTGCAATAAAAAGTTTACGGTTACCGTCTTTGACTTTTTGTAACCACCAATTTATGTATTTTTCCATAGTTGGTGTGTTAATAACCGATTTAGGAGTAAAAAGTACTTTGACATGTGACGAATAATGTTGTTCTTCTTTGACAGCAACTTTCCCTGTACCTTTAAATAAAAGAACAGGTTTGATTCGATGATTACCTTCTGGAAATACACATAAAATTACTGTTGCAAAACGTTTATCATCGAGATGACCCTCGATTTCATTTTTGGAGTTGACATCATTAATACAACGTTTGGATTGATCGCCCCATAAATTTAACGGCGACTCATCCATATTACATACATCAGATTCCGTAAAACAACCCATACAACCACGTCGTGAACCTAAATGACTAGCTTTTCGTATAAAACGATGAAAATTTTCAATTAACACTTGAGCTTCAGTCACTGAGATTTTTTGCTTCCTCACAGGTTTCTGCAAAGACAATCGATGTCTTTTCAGAAATCTTGTATACCAGTTTTTTGATGGTTCTTTACTTTTTGTTTCAGCAGAAAATCTTTGTCCCTGTCGTACCATACCTTTGAATGTTACCTTTTCTTTGTGAACCTGAATACCTTCTTGATCCAAACCACGTTTTGACCGATACCATTGGATAAGATGTTCATCCAAATCAGGATAGAGCAATTTAGCACCGGCACCACCGATTCTTTTACGTTTTTTACTTTTAGTACCTTTTTCTTTCAATAGTTTGATTAATTTGCTCTCGTTCTTCTTCCATTGACGTATCATTTTTCTTGTACATTTGTACTTCAATTCCAGGTTGTGTAATGAAGCACCTTTATTATGTTCAGAAAGGATCTTCATTTTCTCTTTCAGAGTCCATTGTCGACGTTTATGATGAGTAGAATTTGTTGTCGTTGGTGTTGCTGATGAATTATTTGTTGTTGTTGTTGTTAATGTTGAAGAAGTATTTGCTGTTTGAAGATAGATAACTTCTTCGTGGTCAGAAGAATATGTTAAACTTTCAACTTCATCTTCACTATTGTTGTCGTCGGTACTAAGATTTAGTCGAATAAAATCGTCATTCACCTGTTCACTATCGTCAACTTCAATATCAGAATCAATTGAACTATTCTCTGAATCAGAATCTGAATCGACTTGATGGTCATCGATATTTAATGGCAGTATATGACAATTGGAAATGAGATCGTTATCCATATGATATATTGTATGTGTTATTCAGCTATGAGAATAGTTATTAATTTATAATTTCGTTTTGGTGGAGACAAATGTAAATGAAAAGCGATTGAAATTTATCATGAAGGTCATCATTGTTCGGCTGCCATATACACGCCCGTTGTGTATATTTTATATTATTCAGTCACAGGTCAATTGAATATCAGACAACAGAAAAATATGGAAGCGTCGCTAATAATTTACATGTAAAAATACAAAATGTAAACACGCCAGAAAATAAAAAAGATTAACTATTAGGGGGGTCTTCTAATGTGTCGATGGCTTTAGAGATTATTGCTATTTTAAATTAAAGATAATGAGATATTCTCTAGGAGCCATCATACATTGTAAAAAAAAGGTGTTCTACCGAACTTTGAAGGTTTGGTACTGTTTTACGAAACAATTTTAAGTTCCGAAAATTGAAGAGGGTTTTGAAGTTTTACTACGAAACCCTCTAGAAGTTCCGTGCATCTTGTGCTGAACTTTCGATGGTTTCGTATCTTTTGTACATAACCGTTGACAGTTCCGTATAAATTCTACGAAGACATTCATAGTTTCGTAGGTGCTCTAATAGTTCCAGACACATTTTACGAAGCTAACCATACCTTCGTAAATGATATACCGAACCATTACATCATTTACGAAACTATGAACAGTTTCGTAAAATTTGTGCAAAACATTTGGATGTTTCACGAAACCACTGATAGCCTCGTGGAACAACTAAATGTTCCGTATATCTTATACAAATCTATAGAAAATTTCGTAAAACATCAAAAGGTTCAGCATACATTGTACGAAACTGTTCATAGTTTCGTACAATGTGTCCGGAACTATTAGAGCACCTACGAAACTATGAATGGCTGTGTAGAACTTATATGGAACATTTAGATGCTCTACGAAACTGCCAACGGTTTCGCAACATGTTTACTGAACTTTCAGATAACTGGCGAAATTGTTAATGGCTTTGTATAAGACATACGGAACCATTATATAGCTTCCGAAGCTATCATTGGTTCCGTAAAATGTGTGCGAAACTTTTGCAACACTTACGGAACTATGCATGGTTTCGTAAAAGATATGCCGAACCATTGGACAAATCACGAAACTATCGATGGCTTCGTATCAGATATATGGAACCTTTAGATGTTCTACGAAACCATCAATGACTGTGCACAATCTACACAAAACAACTATCTAGCTTTCGAAACTATCGATGGTTTCGTACTGTTATTACCGACCCTTCAGATAAATTGCGAAACTGTTAATGGCTTCCTAAAAGATATACTGAACCATTTCTTGATTTACGGAACTGTCTATGGATTTGTGCAATGCATGTGGAACCATTATACCATTTCTGAAACTGTCGATGGTTTCATATTATATATACGGGACCATTATATAAAGCTTACAAAACTATCGAAGGCTGCGCATAACAAATACGGAACCTTTTGCTGTTTTACGAAGCCGCTCATGGTTTCGTTAGTCAGCTAATCGCTCCGTTTCATTGCACGATATCCATGATAGTTTCGCAAAATAGCTTAAGTTTTATCAGTTCTCGTGTAGAGGCTATTGA